CCTATGATCTAGAAGACTGTGGCACGTTTCTGGTCAGGGCAAGTGCCCAGGTTTCGGACTCAATCCCCACCAGGGGGTGTGAAGGAAGCAGCCAATCAATGCCTCTCTCATCATTAATGTTTCTATCTTTCTCTCTCCCTTGCTCTCTCTGAATATATTTTTTAAAAAAAAGTTTCTCCAAAGTTCCTGGGCCTCACATTCCTTCACAGGGAGTTTTCAAAAAGATCTTGTCAGAAACAACATATGAAATGACATTTGCAATCAGGATCATACAAAGACATCCATAATCCATAAGCTAATGCTTCTGGGCTAATCTGTGAATTCTGCATTAGTCATGTGACCAGTAGGCCACCAAGGCCTCCTGGGGTTAATGAAGTCATTTCAGTGTGACCTTCAGAGTTCTCTCCCCTCACATGAATCACAGGCTACCTTATCCCTTATTTGGCTTCCCCTGTCAGCCTCAGGACATGGCAAACAGAGGCTTGGCTGCCTGGCCAACTACCAAGAGACAAGCGTGAGCAAGCAAATGGCTCCGGGGACAGGTAAAATGAGAAACAGGTGGGGCAGTGGGGGTGAAAGAGAAGCTTGCTTTCTCCACAACAGGCTGCACTTTCAAATGCTGACCAGGGCAAAGGAATGTTTCTGGTGGAAAGTATCTTTTTCCACTTTCTTTTTCCAGGGAAAAGTCCACTCTCCCTCAGTGGACCTAAAACAAGGCCCTGAATGTTCTTTAGCGATTGTCACCATTTGAACCTCAAAGGCCATGTTTTCAGTATTAAGCACACCAAACCTTACCTACCTTTTCTTTGCAGTGCTCATCCCCAGATCTATATTCATTGTTCATTTCTTTATCGTATTGTCTTCCTCTCATCACAAAGTTAACTACCATGGATTGGGGACTGACTCTCTTTTTCAGTGCTCTATTTCCAGGGCCTAAACATAAAGCTTGGTATGTGCTCAATAAATGTGTTGAATAATTATTTCAAACTGTCCTGGAACCAAACTTTCTTGCCTGCAAGCAGAACAAGAGCCTCTTCTATGGTGGACAAGAATACCAGAAGATGTTACTTTGGAGAACCCCAGCTGATCACCACACCAACTGTTAGCTCCTGTCACTATGTCTTTGACCACCAGGTTAACTATCCATGGGGGTAAGGAGAAGAGAAAAATGTAGTGACTATTAATACACTTACTGGAGATTTGCTAAAGTTCACCCTTTTCAAAGTTCTGGGTAAACTAATTAACCCCAGAGATTGATGAAAACTGAAGGTCACCTGAAGTGCAGTAGAGGCTCTCAAATGCTGCACTTGTCCTTAGTGTTAAGTCCCAAGAACTAGAGCCAAGTAACCATTAACAAAAGTTTTGATGCCCCAGTCTAGAATAAAGTTATCGGCAACAGGAACTACACCTAACCAACCATTCCCGCAAGGAATTTTTGAGGTTCTACTCTGAAGAGGAATGCATTATGTGTCCTTGTACTGATCAAAATTATATATTTTGGGGCCCTCCAAATACCAGGAATTACCACCTGGGGAGAGAGAAAAATTATGCACATTTGTGGCCACCTGATAAGGAGTTTTTCCCTCAACATCAATAGCACACATACATATACTCATTGTACAATTTATAAAGAGTTATTTTATCCACCTCTGTTTACTAAATGGAGCATAATCTTAAGGTTGGGATCACAACTCAACTGTTTGCTGATATAGAGGGCAGACCAAGTGAATAAATACACACCTAGGGAGAGTACTATCTAGCCTGTCCCAAAGGAGTGATGGGCCCCAGCCATGGGTGCTATGTGGGAACAAAGGCCTGGTGGCGCCAGGTCATATTTTCAGGCAAAGCCAAAACACAAATTTTTCCATTAAAAAATCCCAATTCTAGAAACTGTACAAGTTACATAAAGTCTGTTCGAGGCCTTCAGGGAACAGTCAATTTATAATCTCTTTGTGCTTTCCACGATGCTCCTCTTACCTGTTTATCACATCAGTCCCAGGCTCCTGAGTTACCTCTCATTCCCATCATCCTGTTTTGTGTCCCTTTCCCTGACTCTTAGGGCTCTCTACTTGAGATCTATCTTAGGCAAAATCATTTTCTCAATCACTTCTCTAAACATTGTCCCTTTCTTATCTCTAACCTAATCGGGTCTCCCCTGAGGATATGCCTTCTCTTGTGCCCTCCAAGTAGCTCCTAGGTGCTACTTCCAGACCATTCTCCCTCCATCCTCTCCCCAACCCCCGGTTAAAAATCTTGTCATCAGATAAGATCGTACTTACTTCGTGCATCATCTTCTGACCCAGACCACTACACCTCACTTCTCCATGACTTTAGCTCCAGGCTCACAGCCACTCCTCCTCCTTCCATGATCATTCTTAGTGATTTCCATATCCAGGCAGGTGATCCTTGAACCTTCCTGACCTCTTGATTCCTAGACCTCCTCTTCTCCAATGATCCTATCCCTCCCCCAGACTCTCTCTCCCATGGTCATGCCTAGGCCTTGTCTCAATAACTGCAGCCTCTCTTCAGAACCTCAGCTTCATGCATCTCACTCACTGCCCATCACATCCTATCTATCTTGTTCATTCCCTCCAACAATTCATTGGCCTTATGACCCTTCCATGACTCCTCAGCCCCCTCGTGTCTTCACTTAGATTAAACTCCTCGATCTACCATTATAATCGCCCCCTTAACGTTTGGTTCGCTACACACTTTCCCATCTCCACCCTACTTATCTGGCAGAGCCTATGCAGCTGCATGTGCCTGGAGAAACACCTCACTCAGTGAAAATCAAAGCAATCGGGAAAGAAAAAAAGTCAAAAATGGTTGAAAGCTTTCAAACAAACAACTTCAGATAAGTGAGGGCATTAGCTGACCCAGTCAGATAGGAGTACTTCTGAAAGGTCAGTAGGTCCAGCCATCTGCAGTAGCCAGGAGGCCACTGGGTGCAGAAAAGGCCTCTGCAGCCAGAGCTGGCTTTGTCAATTACTATTGTGTGACCTTAGATAAGATCTGTAACTTGACCACCACACCAGGTTATCTCAAGGAGTAAATAATACATGTAAGATCAGAGTAAGCAATAGATATTAGCCCCAAACTCAGTTTTGACAAAGTCCAGGCCAGGTAACTGGAAGGTACTATATATACATCCTTAACATAATTACTTCATCTACAAAAGTGAAGAAGGGCTGACAAATCCTGGTTGACACTGCAAGAACAATGAACCAAGTGGTGGGCACACAGTGCAATATACAGATCTTGTAACACAGAAACCCACAACACCTGAAACCTAGATGATCATATTAACCAATGTCACCCCAATAAATTTAATTAAAAAAAAAAAATTTAAAATAATAATGAACCAAGAACAAGAATAGCCCGGCCAGGCATGGCACAGCGGTTGAGCATCGGCCTAGGATGCAGGAGATCATGGTCCAATTCTCAGTCAGGGCACGTGCCTGAGTTGCAGGTTCGATCCCCAGTCAGGGGCATGCAGGAGGCAGCTGATCAATGACTCTCATCATTGATGTTTCTCTCTCTACCTCTCCTTTCCTCTCTCTGAAATCAATAAAGATATATTAAAAAAAAAATAGAATAACATTTTAGGTAATTATATTGGGGGGGAGTGGCCCCCATCATCTTACATCACCTCATTCGTGTACTCCGCCCTGTTCATTTAGTAATTTAATATTGTGATGACTGCTCTTTATTTAAATGTTTACTGTCTCTGTCTCTCCCACCAGAATATAAATTCTGTGAGTGCAGAAACCTGGCTTATGAGTCACAAGCACTTTCCCAGACACATAGCAGGGGCTCAATAAGTTTTGCTGAATCAATGAATTCTTTCAAGAGTTATTTTCAAAGTCCATTTGTGCTTGTCTCAAGCAGTTAAGATTCTAACAACACCTGTTCAAAAAAGGCCTTTCAAGCTGAACTTCCTTAAGAGTGAAGAGGTTTAAATCCCAACTTATGCTCCACCAACCTCTTAGGGGCCAATCAAATGGCTGCAAGCCCAGCTCCTCAAAGCCAATACTCTTTTTTTTTTTTTTTTTTTTT